AAGTCTTAGGGCTTTGGTTTCCTCATCTGTAATAGGAGAGATAATAATACTTGTACAATCTACCTGGTGGGGCTGCTGGGGTGAGGCAATGAATACAGTGCTGGGCCTGTGGTCTAGAAGACTCATCTTCACGAGTTCAAACAGCTGTGTGACCCCTGGACAAGTCACTTAACCCCTGCTTGAGTTTTCTTATCTGTAAAATCAGCTGGAGAAGGAAATGGCAAACCACTCTAGTACTTTTGCCAAGAAAATCTCAAACAGGGTTACAGAGAATCAGGCATAACTGAAATGACTGAACATCAAAAAAAAGAAATCTACCTTGCAAGGTTGTTATGATAAAAATACTCCTGCAGATGTTCAAGTGATAGATGTATGTGAGATGGTATCTTCATCATCATAATCAGCATCAGCATCATTGGTATCATCACTACCACAATGTATTATAATTCAGCAATTCAATTGGACAGATTATGTTAGGCATAGCAAAAATACAAAATTCAGACAAAACATGATCCCTGTACTCATAGAGCTTATAATCCAATAGAATGATAAGATACATTCATGGCCTGCATATATAAGTAACTATAATAAATACATATTTATTTGTGCATATATAACTACATACATATATACATAGAATTATGAGAGTAGATAGAACTAGCCTTGAATAATTGGGTTCAATGCCTACCTTTGCCTATTATCTAGCTATGTAATCTTGGTCAAGTTACATCTCCAAGACTCTAGGCAACTCTTGGATACTTTAAAATGCATAATTGTTGCTGATCTGCACAGACTTTCCACTCCTCTGTGTGCTCCCTATAATAATAAAATCTCAAAGAAGGCACTGTGCTCTAAGAAGAAAGCACAGTCACAGTAGCACACAGCCAATGTGAGACACACAAATCTAGATAAATCTCCCTCCAAAATATCCAAACGTTCTATTTGTGCCCAACCTGTGGTGTAGAGCCTTTTGAGCTCACATCGAACTGATCAGCCACAGGTTGGACACACTGAAATTTTTCTCCAACGTAGTTATATCATTGGTCCTCTTCAAGTATGAGAACAAACAGCAGCAGTAGTAATGAATTCACAGATTAGGACATCTCTTCCCAAAAGATGCTTATATGTCCATGTGAGACATTATTCATTTATATGTACATATAGCGTATATTAGATATTATGCATTAGTTTATAACAGGGGTGGGGAACCTGCAGCCTTGAGGCCACATGTGACCCTCTAGGTCTTCAAATGTGGCCCTTTGAATGAATCCAAACTTCACAAAATAAATCTCTTTAATAAAAGAATCAGTTCAGTAAAACTTGGACTCAGTCAAAAGGCCACACCCAAGGACCTAGAAGGCCACTGGTTCCCAACCCCTGCCCTAGAGGGTCATTCTGTGAAGTTTGGACTCAAAGGGCCACACTTGGGGGACCTAGAGGGCCACATGAGGACTCGAGGCAGCCAGTTCCCTAGCCCTGGATTATACATTATGGCATATGTTACATATATATGTATGTATATGTATGTGTGTATGTGTGCATATATACACACATACACACACATATATACATATATACACATATACATACACACATATATATGCATATATGTATGTATATATGTGTGTGTATGGATATACACACACATATACACATGTATACACACATGTGTATATATACATATACACACGTGTGCATATATACATATACACATATATACATGCATATATACATATATACATATGTGTATGTGTATATATGTATGCATATGTATATGTGTATATGTATATATGTGTGTATGCACATATGTGTATGGATATACACACACATATACACATGCATACACACGCGTGTGCATATATACATATACACACATATATACATGCATATATACATATATACATATATGTATGTGTATATATGTATGTATATGTATATGTGCATATGTGTATATGTATATATGTGTGTATGCACATATGTGTATGTGTGTGTATATGTGTGCGTATGCTGCATGAGCATGTATGCGTGTATATATGTGTACATATGTGTATGTGTGCATATATGAGATATATGGCATTTATTGTATATATTAGGTACATGACATATATATGTGTATATAAAATCTCTCATGTAGACTGTAATATATATGATCTCTCATATAGACATTTATGCATGATATTGGATACATATGAATAAATTCTCTCATATAGACATATTTATGTGCATTTGTACATGTTATATGTGTGTACATATACTATACATAACATTGCAGATTCTGTGCAGAACATTTAGACACTTTTTTTTCCTTTAGTAATTTACTTTCTAAGATGATAGTGTGGATCTCTGCTTTCATTGGGGAAAGGAAATGCTAGGTTGAAATGGGGATGTAAATTGGATAGCGTATCTGAAAATTTTCATTTTCGGTAAGTGTTTGGAGAGTCCGCAGCTGGTGTGTATTGGAGGCAGGATGTGAAGTCTGGCTATCCATATTCCAGCTCTCAATCTCTAGCCACCTTACCTCATGCCTCTCTTCTGAAACGATATCGTGAACATGTATATTATTTTCTTTGTGGTTTTCCCTCCCTAAAAAGGAAAAAAAACTTGTTTATATATAAGATTATGACTTTGGAGAGGTTTTATTGTTTTTCCTAACTCTCCTTTTTTTCATTCTCTATTTAAATAATATGCCCAGAGACCTAACAAGGATATGCAATCAAACCAGCAGTAGGAAAAACCAGACTAATCTGCAGATCTCCAGCAAACCCTGACAATGAGCCCTTTCATCTTGAGTCTAAGCCCTGGACACAGCTCAGAGCTCTTTGAAGTATCCACTTGGGAGGTTGGGGGGGAGGGGAAGGAGCAGGGTTAAAGTACAAACAAAAATACAAACCTCGAGCCACCCCTTTCTACTCCACATTGAACCCAACCATCTACTTTTGAGGTTTTTTTTTTCTGTGTAGAGCTTAAGTTAAATGAATATGTTATCTTTTATTTTTTTTCCTTTTTGAACTTCAAAACTAACTGCTGTTGTGCCTCATACTGACCAGCCAGTACCCTCTTAACTACAGTGCCTAGCACCATTGCTACTTCTGAAAATCATTTTAAAGAGGGTTAATAATAATATGCAAGAGGCAGCCTGGGGAGTAGTCACACCTACCCACAGTGGGGCAAGAAATTTGAAGACTGAGTTACAGAGAGGTTTCCCCTCTGTCTTGGTGAAGGGAGTTCCATACTGGGAGCTCCCAATGCTGATGAAATTAGAGATCTAATTTCACTTTTAATGATACTGTGGGAGGCAGTGTGCTGTAGTAGATAGAGGGAAAGAAAGAAAAGGAAAAAGCATTTATATAGAACCTATTATGTGCTATTACCTTATTTGATAATACAATCCTGCAAGGATTTTTTGTTGTTGTTGTTAAGTCATGTCCAACTCTTAGTGATCCCATTTGGGGTTTTCTTGTTTGCCATTTTCTCCTCCAGCTAATTTTACAAATGAGGAAAGGGAGGCAAACACTTAAGTGATTTGCCCAGGGTCACACAGCTAGCAAGTATCTGAGGCTGAATTTGAACTCAAGTGTTTCTGATTCCAGGCCCAGCACTGTAACTGCTGTGCCAGTATGACCCAAATCAGAGGTTCTAAGTTCAAATCCTGGCTGTGGTGCTTAACAATCTGTGTGACTTAATCTATAAGTGCCTCATTTTGTTTGTCTGTAAAAAGAAATCTGTCTGTGACTTCAGGTCCCTTCTAATTAGAATTATAGCTTAGCATGGTGCCACAGTGAGTGCTTAAGAAATGTGCATATTCTGAGGATTATAGAATCCGTTGATCCATAATTCCAGGTTCAGGAACTCTATCTGCTTTTCTCTGTTGCCTCTCTTTCTGGTTACATAATTGTAGGTATATAATGATTACTCCCCACATCTTCAAAAATTATATTGTTTTTTTCTCTATATTTTTCTAATTTTTCCACATCTGACTTCAGAACTAGATACAATATTCTCATAAACTGTCAAGAATTACGGGTAGTTATTGTGTTCAGTTATTCGTCATTTGTCATGTTGCCAGGGCTGCCTCTAGAAGCCATAAGGGCCCATGTCCTAAACCACCCATTTAATTGAGCAACCAGTCAGCAAGGATTTCAGTGCTTAGTTTTAGCTTCGGCATTAGTTTTGCGAATATAAAAGCAAGAGAGTCCCTGCGCTCAAGGTGCTTAATCTAGTGGATAATGCGTACCCATTTTCAGTAAAATATTAAATTAGGAGTAAAATTAGAAAATATGAAAACTCAACTATACCATATACATCTCAGTATTGAAAAAGCAGCAGGCGGCTGGGTGGTGCAGTGGATAGAATGTTGGGCCTGGCCGTAGGAAGATTCATCTTGCTGAGTTCAAATGTAGTCTCAGACTCTTTCTAGCTGTGTGCCCCAGGCAAGTCACTTAAACCTGTTTGCCTTAGTGTCCTCATCTGTAAAATAAGCTAGAGAAGGAAAGAGAAATAGGAAACCAATCTAGTATCTTTGCCAAGAAAATCCCAAACAGAGTCACAAAGTTCAGACTAGACTGAAAAATGAGTGAACAACAACAAATAAAGCTGTACCCCAGTAAATACACAGATCTATACTGATTAGAGATTGCACACAGGATTTTTACAAGCTAGATTTGAGAAAACGTATGACATATATCTATACCAATAAGGCATTTGCTTGTTGGTAATCAAAGAAGAATATTTGAAAGGAAAGTACTATCACTCCAAATATCACTTTTCAATTTATTTAGAGTAAGCAAGCTGTGGTAAAAGCAATATTTCTTGGCCTGCTAAGCTAGTAGTTGTATATTTTATGTTTTTACTTGAATATTTCTATCTTAAAACTTGAAGATCTAATATTTAAACCAATTTTCTTGTATAGTTGGAACTTTCATGTCTTTTTAAGTGCTAGCGTAATAACACCATTCGAAAAATTTCAGACGTCTCCATAACTCTGTTTGTTTAATTTTTAGGAATTTGCTGCTCTGACAAAAGAATTAAATGCGTGCCGGGAACAATTGCTAGAAAAAGAAGAAGAAATTTCCGAGCTTAAGGCTGAGAGGAACAACACAAGAGTAAGCCTGAAGTGCATGGAATGAGTTTATTTTGTATCTAAACTGGTGTCCTTCACACTCTGATGCTGTGCTAGGCAGAGATCCACATAGACAAGGGGAAGGGAAGGGAATAAACATTTAGATAGTGCCTATTATGTGCCAGTCACAGTGCCACAATATTATTTCATTTGATCCTCAAAGCAACCCTGTGAGGTAGCCTTTTCATTATTTCCATGACAGTTGAAGAAACTGAGGCAGAGGGTCCCACAGCTAGAAGGAGTGTCTGAGGCTACATTTGAATTCAGGTCTTCCTGACTCCAGCCACAGCATTCTATGCACTGTGCCAGTAGCGGCTTCATATGAGAATCAGCCAAACATATTACATACACATGGTTTCGAAATATAATAAGTGGCAAGGATACTGAATTGGTATCAGGAGACTTGAGCTCTGGGTTGCCTTCCACTGTTTACTAGTTAAGTGATATCTTTTTGAGTTGCATTAAATGCTTATCAAAATCCATCCAAGTCTAATATTCTATAGCTTTATGGAAAACAAAAAACAAACAAACAGAAAAAAACCAGATTGAAAGTAGAGTCCTCTTTAAGAAATTGGACATTTCATCAGTATCACATCATGTTATCACTGTTTAAGACACTTTTTGACCTCATGTGGTGGGGGGGGGAGTTGCATTTCCTATGTCTAGACCACAAGCATTTGTTAATTACCTGTTGTGTGGCAGGCATTGTGCTAAGCCATAGTGATACAAAGAAAGGCAAAAACAATCCCTGACCTCAAGGAGCTTCCAATTTACTCAAGTAGACTACACACAAACAAATATGTACAAGCAAGTTATATACAGGATAAATATAAACTATTCTAGTTTTTATGCTGTGAAATCAGTGTTACTGCCTGACTGTCAGAAAGTGGTTTATCTCGAGTGTGGGCATTCAATTCAAATACACAAGTGGAAAGAAATTTCCCTTTTGTATTTTGAGTGTTACACCTATTATACACAACATCCAAGAAAACAAATATTTTGAATGGACTATATCTTTTATGGTTGGTCTTAGAAAAGACATAAAATAGCATGAAAACATTTCTAAATAACCACTGGGCTTATGCTAGCAGTAAAAGTTTCCTCATATGCATAATATTTATGTGATCAGCATCCATTTATTTCCTTATGCTTTTATCTGAGAGGAATATGGCATAGCCTATAAGGAACAGGCCTTAGGGTCACTAGGACGAGTTCAGGTCTTGCCTCAGATATGCATATGTGTGTACTTGTATGTGTGTGCATGCAATGCATGTATATATTCATGTATACATATATATTCATGTATACACACATGTACCTGTACATGTACACATGCACATATATACACAAATACATGCACACATATACATGCATATACTTATACCTATATACAGGTGCATACATGAATATATACACACACATGTGTGTACACATATGTACATGCATACACACACGTGTGCACACATATACATCTATACACACTTCTATACATACATGTGTGTGTATACTGGTTGGGGGGCCCTGAGTGAGTTACCCTCTAAGTAATCTACAGAACTCTTTAAAATTATAAGTCGACAAGAAGCTGCTAACTTAAATTGGTAGTCAGTTACCCTGTCTGGGAGTTTCCTATATCAATGAAATTACAGTTATAATGCCTCTCCCTGTTCCCATCTCTGTGACCTTATCAAATATTTAAAAAATACTCTATATTCTGTGCATATCACTGGTTTTCTAAGCGTATTGCCTAGCACTGTAAATATGCTTTTAATCATTGTTCAACCTATCTGTTTATTCAGAAAATTATGAGCAAGCTGGCCATCCTGCAAGATATTATCCGGTGTCTTCCCTTATCCTTCCTTCCTCTCCCCCCCCATATTTTGGAAATCTTCCAGTCTGTCTGCCAGTCTTGATATCCACCTCTTCCATCAAAGTTTGAGTCTCTCTCCCCTCTGCTATTCCAATTCTGATGGCCATTTCCTAGGTCTTCTCTGACCTTTAAATAAAACAGAGCAGGCTAGAAGGATTACTTCTTTCTCATTGAATATCGTAATCTGTGACAATCTCTTGTTCCTGGTGTTGGGTATATGGCCCCAAAGTAGTCTTTTCCTTCCTTCCTTCCTTCCTTCCTTCCTTCCTTCCTTCCTTCCTTCCTTCTTCCTTCCTTCCTTCCTTCCTTCCTTCCTTCCTTCCTTCCTTCCTTCCTTCCTTCCTTCCTTCCTTCCTTCCTTCCTTCCTTCCTTCCTTCCTTCCTTCCTTCCTTCCTTCCTTCCTTCCTTCCTTCCTTCCTTTTTTCTTTCTTTCTTCCGTACTTCATTTATTCATTCATCTAGGATTTGTCCTAGGTACTGGAGTAAGAAAGATATAAATGGAAAAGTCCCTGATATCAGGGAATTTTCATTCTGTTGGGAAGAAAGAACATGTACAAAGATAATTGAATAGAATGTCTATGCAAAGTAAATGAACATAATTGTAGGAGGGCACACAGATGCTTGGTTTCATAAGAATGAGTTTTCTATAGGAATTTGTGCTTATTGGAATACTAACTAGCACTTGCATTGCACTTTCAAGCACTATAAAGCTGACAAAATAAGTTATATATATATATATGTATATATGTATATGTATATACACATACATATACACACACACACACACACACACACACACACACACACACACACACATATATATATATATATATATATATATACATATACATACATACATACATACATACATACATAGTGCCATTTGATCCTCACAATAGTCCTAGGAAGTAGGTACTATTATTATCCCCATTTTACAGATAATGGAATTTAGGTAGACAGAGGTGACTTGTCCGAGGTCATACAAGTGGGAAGTGTCTGAGGCAAGATTCAAACCCAGGAGTTTCAGACCCTAAGTCAAACACTATTTATTGTACCATTTAGCTGCCCAAGATAAGCTAGGAATTGTAGAAGGTAAAAATTCACATCTCTGCAAAGTCACAGGGATGGAAGATGGAATGTCACATGTGGAGAACCAGTTTGGCTTCAACTCGACATGTGTGGAGGACATTAACATGCATTAATCAGTCTAGAAATTTTGCAGCCACCAAATTGTATAGAGTTTTAAACCCGAACAGAGGAGTTTGTGTTTTATCTTATAAGCAAGAAGCAACCGTCAGGGGAGCTAGGGAGTACCATGATCAGACATGAGCATTGAAAATCAGGACAAAATTTGCTGTACTCTCATTTCCTGTGATCTTTCATGTAGCATAGAAAGTGTCTTAGCAGGCACACCTTGCATTTCTTTTGGTACCCACATGTAGACCATGCAGTCTGGGTGACTTGAATTTTTCATGAAAAATGAGATGTTCCTTTACTGTTGTTACTTATTTTGAATATCAAATCCCTGTTTGTCATTTTCACCCTTTTTTTTTAATTTCCAAAGCAGCTTTCTTTGAAGAGAAGAAAAACAAGACCAGGCAAGGGACTTGCTCTTTCTTCTCTCTTGACAATTATTGTCCTCCCATGTATACTGAAGGGTGATCAGATTGCTTTTTGGAACCTCTTCCCCACTGTAGCTTTAAAAAAAAAATGCAAACCAGTTTTGTTGTCCTCTGCTTTCTTTGGAATCAAAATTGAGGAAAATATAAACACTCATCCTTATTTAGGATGTGAGAAGAGGTCAATGAGTACAACTCAGCTTGAATTAACTGATTACCTTTCTTGAACCAATGGCTTAGGACCTAAATAGATTATTTTTAGCGGGCAAGGGAAATAAACATGTTCTTTTCGAAGATCAACAAGGATTATAAAACAAATCTTAATTAAGATAAATGGAACCAATACAGGGACTGATAATCTGCATTTTTTCTTCTTTATCTCCCTGGTTAAACCTTGGAGAGATTATTTTATTATATATTTTTAATTTTTTTTTTTTTTTGGTGTAGGCCTGAGGTTTTTATCTTACATTTTTGTCCCGGTGAGGATACTACATTTACCAAAGCAGATCAGTGATTAGTCTGAAACTTACAATTTTAGAGGGCTTCCTGGAACCTTTAGAAATTAAGACATTGGCCCAAGGTGGCCTAGCTAATATGCGTCAGGAGAGAGACTTTAACCTAGGCCTCCTGACTTTGAGCTCTGAGTCCAGCTATCTTCCTGTTATGCCATCTTGCCTTTAGATTTATGTATTTTTTACATATACTTTCCCCCTTAGAATTTATTTTGTCACAACAGCCTGATGTACTGATGTTAAGCTTATCGTTGTTCAGTTATTCTGTCATGTTGACTCTTCATGACCCTGCAGACCATAGCAGTCTGCCTATCCTACATTATCTTTCAAAATCTATCCAAGTTCATGTTTGTTGTTCCAGTGACACTGTCTATCCATCTCATCTTCTGCCATCCCTTTTTCCTTTTGCCTTCAATCTTTCCCAACATCAGGGTCTTTTCCAATAAGTCCTGTCTTCTCATTATGTGGTCATCATATTTAAACTTCAGCTTGAAAATTTGACCTTCCAATAAATAGTTCGAATTAATTTCTTTAAGTTTTGACCGATTTTATCCCCTTGCTATCCAGGGATGTCTCAAAAGTTTTCTCCAGTACCATAATTTGAAATCAATTCTGCGGTGTTCAGCTTTCCTTACCGCGCATCTCTCACAGCCATACATTGCTACTGGAAAACCCACAGCTTTGACTGTATGGAAATTTGTCAGCAGGGGATGTCTCTGCTTTTTAGTAAGCGTCTTTTAACTTCATGCCTGCAATTGTTGCCTGCAATGATCTTTGAACCCAAGAATATGAAATCTGACACTACTTCCATTTCTTACTCCATTTGCCACAAAATAATGGGACCAGTTGCCAAGATCTTAGCTTTTTTGATGGCGAGCTAACAGCCAACTTTTATACTCTTTTCACTCACCCTCATCAAAAGGCTTCTTAATTCTTCTTCACTTTCTGCCATCAGAATGGTATAATCTGCATATCTCAAATTGT